AGATTTACATTGAACAAAAATAACTCTCTGTTAAGTGTTATGTTACTTTTGTGTTCATTTTAACATTCACAATTAATAATTTAAGACAAATGTGTAAAATGTTTTAATCAATTTCATGCTTAAGAAATTTAATTTATCTGGAGGACAAACTTTTCGAGATGCTGTAGCTGCAAGTTTTTTATTAAATAAATACCAATATAAACGTTCTCGTTTCCCTTTTTTACAGCTCTTCCATATGCTGCTTTTCTCTTAAGTACTTGCAACACAGATATAATCGTAGCTTTTACATATCCTTCACTAAATGTCATCGACATTAAGTCATTTGATTCCCAAGTCGCTCATCTTCCGACTTCTTTTACCTCTTCACTTGACCCTCATTCTCCAAGTGGTTTATCTACTTCTGCTCCGCCTTCTTCTGTCTCTGCTCAGACAGCTTCTCAGCATACTATCCATTCTGTTGCTGGTCTTAACTTCATTTCCTGCTGCTCAGATGCAGTAGTTATCGAGCTTACTTCATGTTATGAGAATCGCATAGTAGAGCTATAGTTGAGCATATGATTTATAATTTGCGTAGGCTTTACTACCTTGGAAATTTCCAAGATGTTTTCTTTTATATAAATATGTTTGAAGTTTATTTAACAAAAATGTTTTTAATCACAAAAAACAAATGTATACAAGTAATTAGCGGATAAATCCACTGATAAAGTAGTTAGTCAATCAGTTCTCTATATATGTTGAGTCAATTTCTCAGTTTTTTGGGCAACAAACAGACAGAAAAGTAAAGCGAATTGCCGAACGACCCACTTCTTGAAAACGAGTCAGTTTATCTAGCAGTTCGAAGTCTAACAGGTTTTTACCTTTCGCTTAAGCAATACTCCTCCAAGTACTTATAAGTATACCACCTGATTTCAAGGAAAGTGTTTGTACACACTTTTGCTGAGTATTTATTTAATTATAGAGATGTCGAACTGCAGCAATAGACGCAAAGCAAAAACTTAGAGATAACCCATTGGGTGAACGACGATAATGACAAGTATATATGTACATATAATCTCAAAACTATATACATATTTTATTTAGAAGCTTTTACGAGCGAAGCAGACGCATAGTTTATTAGCGTAAATACCTAATTCCTAAGAAACTCATTTTCAAATTGAATAACTGCCTGTTGGGATTGTTTACCAGAAGCAAAACAAAAACCACATTAAGTGAGAAATTTCATATCAGCGCATTGGCCTTGGGTTGAAATATTTATATACATTTAAAAGAAGTTAAACGCAGATTTTTTCAGTGCAATGCAATGAAATTTCCCGCATATGACTCTTAAAATACTAACCAAAAGACGGGTTAATGTGAAATAATAAAATTAACTTATTTAGTCATCAGACCAGAAAGAATTATTTACATGAACTTGTGAACATATTTAGCACTCAAAGAGCTAAAGAGTTCATCAAATAAAGATTATCTTTACTCAGTTCTTCTGTGGACCGTTTCAGCGGCTCATATGAACGATACGCTCTACTCACTGGTTCATATGAATGAGACGTTCTGTTGAGCTAGTTAGTGGTTCAAAACAATAACACGATCTATTAATAATTATTCAACAAAATTCTAACTCTTGCTTTAAATATCAAATCTCTATATACATACACACATTATGGAAGAGCTTTACATATTTAATGCGCAAAACATGATACCCCGTGTTATACAGTGCTAGGATATAATAAGCAAATATGCATAGCCACGATTGAAATCCATGGCTTAGTCTGCTTTTCCAGCCAGTGTAACTGATACTTCCTGTCTGTTTCTCATCTCGCTCTACTCTGGCTTGCTGCCTCTCTCTCGCTCTCTCACTTTATCAAGCATAATTGTATTTGTATTCATGTACTCACGTTCATTGTTTGCTGTCTGTCTCGCTCTCACGCTCGCACTTAATTTCAATTGAAAATGATTCTTTGTGTCAGCTTTTGATTAGCCAGCGAAAATTTGGTGTTTGCTATCGCGGCTTCAGCTGGTGAGTCAGATGGCCGGTAAACCAGTTTCCCTTGGCCAACGACTATACCGGTTCTTCAAATATATACAAATATATTTATACATATGTATTGTATATCTGCTCATCAAATGACAGCCGGCCAGATTTCTTTCTAGCTAACAGCGCAAGACGAAGTTTCCGTCCAGCCCAGCAGCTCAGTTTTCCACTTCTTTATACATTTTGTTTCTGTTTTTGTTTATATATTTTATATAAACAAATAACAAAAACAAAAAACATTTGCACCTGGTATTTCATACCCCATAACATTTATTTAGCTGTTACTCATTGTGCGTGTGCTATCCGAGAATATCCATTTTATATTTCAAGTTTCAAGATTTGGGTTTCTTTTTATTTGTATATATAAATAGATTTAATGGGGACATAATGAGCTTTAAAGAGAGCCAGAGAGAGAAATGCTATGTAGCCTACTTGTATACTTCTTACAACCTGCTTGCAACTTCTTCAATGATTTGCAAAAAATAGATAACGCGAAGCTAACGAAAACTTCTATTGACCTAAATAATATTTTCCTCTAACTTGAACCTGCCGTCCATCGACTTGCAACCTGCTTGCAAGTTTCTTGCAATAATCCCACTGCATAAGTAGATAAAGCACAGGCAACGACAACTTTTGTTGACCTCAATAAGTTCGATTTGCACTTCTTTGGTGCAAGTCGCTTTCACTTAAAATAAAGGCGCTGTCTGTATATTTATGGGTGTGTGTGTGTGTGCGTGTTAACTGTGCAAATTTTTGACATTAGAGTTGGGAATTGTAGTTAAATTTCACGACTGTCGCCCTCAAGTGAGTTAAGAGTTGAGACACAAGCTAAAAAGTCTCGGGTTCACATCCTACCCAGTGAATTAAAAAAAATAATTATAAATTATATTTATACTAGTTTCTATTAAAAATGGTCTCATTTCTCCTAAAGTTTCCATAACAAGTAAGAAGAGTATTCAATTTTCGCTATTGCCAATGGATCTGTTTTTAAACTTCGTTTGGCATGCAAACCTACCGAAAATCAGAGTCGAATATGTATATGAAAGTTTATGTGTGTGTGTGTGTGTGTGTGTATGCCTATGCCGGCGTCGCTTGCTATAAATACATAGTACATGCGCATAGGCCACTTGATTGGAGCTCCGGCCTCAGCTAGAGCACCTATATAGAGGCTGCATATATATGTATGTATGTATGTATATAGGAATATAGGTAATGACATTAACATGCATATATACGTATACATCATATGTTTGCATACGTATGTGTGTATATGCGTTTTACACAGGTCAGGGATGTATCTGTATCTGTATCTGCGCAAATGCTGTGTATGAAAAGCACTCACGCAATTTTAAAATTTCAAATATTGTTTTTTATCGCGCTTTTCTGCTATGTTTTCTCTCCTTAATTATTCGACCTTTTCTTAAAGCAGATTTTACGGTACATATGTACTGGTTATTTTTTTGCTTGTTGCTTTTGGGTCGTGCTGCTTCCGATTTGACGCTGCGAAACAAAGCAGAATAAAAGAGATAAAAGAGAACGTCGCATTGCGCCTTCACCTCGGCAGCACACCCGACCTCTCGTTCGCACCAGCACCCTGAGTAATTGAAATAAACAAGCTGAATCAGACAATAATAATAGTAACGGTTATTTTTTTATGTGCCTTTGTCCCAGCTTCTTTGCGTTACACATGCACACACACATTCATATACACATATCTGTTTGGTCGACGGCGACTACCAAATCCAATTAGTCATTAATGTCAAGCAAAAAACACACGGACATGCACAAAGCTAAGAATGTTTCATGTTTGCATATGTGTGTGTGTATGTGTGCGTGGGGGTCTGCCACTGCCACTGTAATACAAAAACACTTTCTGGTCAACAATAACACGCGAGACACAACTGCAACTGCTACTGCAGTCTTTTAACGTTGTACAACACTTGACATTAACTTGGAAATCCATTAAAAAATAGGGAATACGGTAAGAGATTATCAATGCAAATAATCACCGTTAGTTTTTCACACATGTTTATCATTTATAGTATATATTTGAATATTGAAACTTTTATATAAATGCTTGTGCACTTGTACCCCGCCCTTTCTTTGTCTGCATCGCAGCTTCCAATGGCCTGCGACCCCGTATTCTAATTGGAATTGCAGCTGTGCGTGGGTCAACTGTGTATATATGTTTGTATGTATACACAAAGTATGTAACGGAACATAAAAGATTTTAGCTGGAATGTTTTGAAATTTTGCAAATGCACGTGGCGGAAAATTAACTAAAATTTCGAAGCAAATCAAATAAAATCGAATAATTTACATCTATATTAATATTTTACTGAAAATTTAAAAATTTTATTAAGATGACTGCTCTAAGTACATTTTTCAATTGGCAACCGTGTTTTCATAAACTATGCTCATACATAGACAAAAATGCACATATAGCATGTGCATGTGTATGAATGTGTGTGTATCTATTGCAACGCCCGCTGCTGCTGCTGCTGCTACCATCACAACATTCTTTTCTTTGTTTTCACAGCACACAGAGAACAAATTTGGTGGTGGGTCTCGCTTCATGAGTCCACAACACTTGGTTTACACATTTTATAATGCAAAACGACAGTAAGCTTAATTCAAGATTTCATTTAATTCACTAGACAAATCACCTTTTTTTTATTAAAGCAACGTCAATTATCACAAATTTTCACAAGAACGAAGACGCCGTCGAACGTCCGCCTCGACGCGCGTATCACACAACGGCAACTACTATAGACAATAGAGATGATATGTGAAATATCAACTTATCGACTATCGTTATCACTGAAGTATCGATATCTCACAAGTCACAATACTGCGATAGCAAGAAATGTATTTCAACGACTGTCATCGTTGTAAATTTAAAGTGAACGAAAGCTTAGCGCTTTTATAAAACTTCTGGAAATATTATTTATTTAAAAAAAAAAACCCAATACATTTGAGTTATTGTTAACCGGTTGATTTTAAATAGATAGACTGACGCATTTAAGCCTTCATAGCGGAAATTATTCCTTTTGCTTGACAACCAAGTTCTCTGGTTACAATTGCATATCGATAGCAGAGTAATATCGATGCTGCGATAATTCGATTTGTGCTGGTGTTCGTTCTAAGTTCAAATATGAACGAAACCATGGCGCTCAGTTGGAATACTTAGAGTTTTAGACACAACTAGTCCTTCTTCTTTCGTTTATAGTGTCCTAGCTGCGGGTTATCGGGCAGAGTTATCCGGGCATTGTCGTCATACCCGCCCGGGGTACGACTTATGCAAACTGGACAAGTTCTATGCCGAAAAGAAATGTCGGATTAAAAACAGTTATAAATATTGAAAAGATAATATATAGGACATACCCAACTAAACCAGCAGGGGCAGGGGAATATATTCTGTACAGGCACATTAGGCGATGTAGGACAAACAATAGAGGTAGAAGGACCAGAGCAAAGCACAAGACGCCAAGCCAAAAGCCATTCTGTACAAAAAGAGCGAAATAATGATTAGATTGATATATGTATATAGCAATGTATACTTACAATTGGATCGACCAGATTTTCGCAGACCAAATGAACACTACTTTGATAGGCCTTAGCCAATGGTTCACACGGCCCGACTTCTTTATTACATTTGACTATGAGCATTTCGATATATTCGTCCGTCTGTTCAGCACAAAACATCGTCAGATTACGCACAAGCTCACGAACGAAATACTTTCCTTTCGATTGTATAAACTTCTCTGCATTGACCACATATTGGAGCAGCACCTTAATGCTAAAGCCAAAATTATTATTATTATACAAGATCAAACTATCGATTCTATTTAACGTTCTTCTCATTGACTCTTGTAGTTTTTGAATTGGTATTACGAATTGATTGTGATAGACATCGAGACTCATGGCCGCATTATTGAGTGCGACCCGTACATTCCAATGACCCGAGTAGTAGCCAGAATAGAGATCGGTAACTATCGACCTCAATTCCTCAGAATACCACGTCAGGGGCCGAGGCGTTAAACCCGCGCATATATTCTGCGTATAAAGTTGACTTCGATACGTTGATAGACTTCCATTTATAATCTCAGTTAATCTCAGTTTCTCTTCCTCAAGCATCAATTTTATTTCTGAAAAGTCGTCGTACATTAATCCTATGAAAAAGTCTTTATCGTCGAAAAGTTCAATCTGCGCTAATTCAGTTACATCATATATAGAATTATCATGGAGTATATTAAAGACATTTTTGTTTAGGCCACAGCCTTGAAGGGCCATCGTAGCTTGCTGTATTTGCATATCCGTTGACGCATTGTTCCCATGGCCTACACTTATTAGAGTGTCCAGTTTACGCAAGTGTCCAGATGGTTCACATGCCCCGCCATAGATAAATAATCCCATTATAAAATAGAAAAGACCAACAAGAATGATGAACGACAGTGCGCAGAATATGACGATAAGTGCACTGAAAAATAGATTAATGCAAGCTATATAGATATATATATAAAGAAGAAAGTAAATATGAGCTATATGAAAGGCCTATAAGAAATACTCGACTACAATATTAATACTAATTAAATTGATAGAATTAGCTCGAATATCTTATAGAGTGTTTCACTTACAATAACAAAATGACGGCGCCCGCTTGCTTACTCGCAGCACAGCCGCATATCAGACCACTGATAAGAATCACAGATATCTAGGAATGATTCAAAAAGAGAAACTAAAAAAATACTTTGTGCATAATACATAACAGGAGCGGACTTACCAAGGCCAATATTATGCAGACTATAAGATTAACAGCTGATCGATCGTTGGCATATTTCTCATAGAGATTCTCAAAGGATTCAGAGGAACGTAACGAGGAAAAATACAAGTCGTTGAGAACGGTATCAATTTTGCCGCGAATAACATTCGCCTTATAGAGAAACACGTCACGTCCCCTTTGTAAATTGAGTTTTATGGGAGGCGCCGCCCTTTTCAGTTCCTTTGATACAGCGTCTTTGACTGCCTGCAGTCGCAATATCGCATTATTTGGTATGTCCGTGTACCTTTTATCAATTATATAGTTCATTCCAGTAAGATAAACAGTCGAGTTGGGCAACTGTTGAAGGAAGAAAATGAAGAGAACTTTATGCAAATGCATTTTCATATATTCACCTGATCGATGTGTATGCATCGAGTAGTATCTATGAACTCAATCGATGAACTTTTCAGAAAGTCTTGGCATCTCGGATGCGCGGACATATGGCAGCTGTAAGTAATTTCACGCTTAACGCCACGAACTCCTGCAAGGAAAAAAGGAAAATTTACTGGAAAAGTAGCAAGGGAAAGCAGTTGTACAAAAACTGAAATATGAACTAAATAAACGATCAAGCTAACAATTGGTATGTAGAGAAACCAATGAAATTTTTCTACTCAGGACGTCCTACAACTTTGTATCAATGTAAAGAATTCTCCCCAATGTAATTACCATCTCTTAGCTGAGAGATAAGGTAGCGCATTTCTTTCTCCATGACGTTCACATTCGTCATAAGTACCCTAGCAGACACCATATTATCCATTATACGCTTCAGTTCTTGAAGACCACTGGCATCAGAGCTATCGGACATATCCAAAAATATGTGATCATGCGCATCTGAAAGTTACAGAATGTGAACGATAAAGAAGTCTCAAGGTGAGCTAATCCGAAAGGCTTACTGGTAAGCAGGTAATTCAGATGGTTCATGAGCTCTTCGTAATTGTTGGCAAATAGATGGTAAATATGTTTTCGGACATCCTCCTGATACCTACAGATATCCTCTGAGCTTCTACGCATTGTATAAGTCGATTCTTTCATGCCTCGATCGATCATTTTATTGGTCAAGAACGCAACAACTGTGCAGACTCTGTATGGATAAAGTTCAAATTAATGAAGGAATTAACGAGAAATTGTCTAAATGGCTACATAAGTGGAACGATCAGTATGAAAAGCAGCAATCCATAAACATATCGCAGGCGAGTCTCGCGACTTCTCGTACAGGGCGGACAGCCCTTGGAACAACGTCGACAGCAACAAAAGCAACAGTAGCAGACACTAAGAGAGAAACCAACCAGAATGAGATCAGAATGGATCGATGCATTCAACGAAGTGGACTTACCCAATGAATGGAATGATTATAATTAAGGTTAGCAGAAAGGCAACCCAGAAAAGGTAAAGAAAATATCTCCACAGCAAATCACGCCAGTCGTTCATCTCCGATTTCTGACCTAACATTAGGATATCCCTGTTATTGGTTACCACATAACCTGGGAGGGAAAACAGTTAGTCATCAACTTTCGGCGTGCAAGGAACTGATTACCATCGGGTATATAGGGCGGATCAGTTAACGTATTTTGAAATATATAATGCGTAAAGTTGAATATGGGTTCCATACCCATTTTCGGATGTATAGTCTGTCCATGGAACTTAGTCTTGTACTCATACTTCGTGTACTGGACTTCGGGCCAATGACTTACTCCCATCTGCTCATGAACAGTGCCCATGCCCTCGAAACCCTCACGCCATTCATCCACTTTAAATGTATCGCTTGATCGGCTGTGTTCACCTCTATTGCTTGGCATCTGTTTATCGGCTAAGTCATCTTCTTCAACAGCTTCAGGTGGCACTTCTCCTAAATCTTCCGGTAAGTCTTTTAATAACTCTTCTGCAAAATCTTCCTCAACAATTAGGTCTTTCTGATTGACAGCCTGTGCCACAATCGAGCCCGTTAAGTGGACCAACAGATTTCCTATTACTATCACCCGTAAAACCCATATTTTCCTGCTACTGAGGAAATACCGTTGCCGTTTCATGCTTCTGTTCTGCGTCTCTTCTGTGCACACATTTCACTGTCCAAACAGGACAAAGACCACAAAAACAAATTTGAACTAGGCAAAGGACTACAGCAGAGCCCTCTTCAGCCCTTAAGAAATTGAACGTGTTGTGTGATCGTTTAACGGTTTTTTTATTTCTTTTACGTATACTACAAAAGTAAAAATGTGTAAAATTTTGTATAAATAAATAACAACTAAAAAAATCAAAGCGTTCTCTGAATGTAAATACGGATTGGATTTTTTCCAAATCTTAAGTCAGAAACAATTATTAAAAAAGAGTGTTGCTGTTAAGGTCATACGACAGGTCAGCTAGCTAGGTAGGACCACTAGGCTTAAGCTCTTTCAGAATACATTTAAGCCGAAAAGTGCATTAGAGGTTGGCAATTTTATATTTTTCCCTACTTAGCACTTCATATTAGATATTCAAGCAGCCTTGATTGAGGACGGAAAGTCGTCCAGAGGCAAGGAGCCATGTACACGCACAAGCGCAGAACTATCTAAGCCAGTTTAATGCCCCATAGATCACCCACTTTTAAGATGCACGGCTAGTCCCCAGCTTATAGAAGACTTAAAAGAAAAACACAATGAGTAAGTGGTACGTAAACGATTATTACACCTTCTTTTCTTTACTTTGCTTATCGTTCACTTTTTTATGTTTTACAACCGTGCTAACATAAATACACGAGTACATATAAACACACTTAAATTTACTCTGTATCAGTCTAGCATACACAAATTACAAAAGTCATCTAATTCGTGTCTGCGATTATCTAATCATTTTTCGGCTTAAATACTGCTGCTACTGCGGCTTCTGGGGTCTGACCTTGAGTAAGGGCCTCTTTCTGATACTCGTCCGGAATCTGAATCTGGATCTGGGGGTGGACAACCGAGGGACTGGTTGTCTCAACATTTACGTTCTGTTCCGATGTGGCGATAGATGAGCTGTCATTGAATGTAGCTCCGCCATCTTTACGCTTTGCATCCTCACGGCAAGGGCAATACGCCTGCTGGCCGCCGCCACAGATGATAGTTGGCGGTGGTACGAACGGTTGACCGGTGCAGGTTGGACAGGAGGGACTGTTGGCAATTGAATTAGTTTCAAAACAATTAGAAACTATTAGTTACTTACCCTGTCTCTGGTACGGCTAAGGGCACCGCATATGAGTGCAATCTGCGCCACAAGCACATCAGCTTATGGGCAACATACAACAGAGGTAGTAGGAGCAATGCAGCGGGCAGCAATCCAATCCAGAAACCGTTCTGTGAAAGTGCAGAGATTGATTAAGTCATTTGCTATATGATGATAAAATAATTGAATGCTTGTATTTCTGAAAGGAAGCGCTTACCATTGGATCAACCAGGCGGTAACAGACTAGATCGACTCCCCGATAATAGACATGAGCGAGTGGGGCGCAGCGTCCCACATTCGAGCTGCATTCTGTGATGAGACCCTCCTTATACATTTCGATCTGTTCGCTGACAACATCTGTGAGATTTTGACTAAGTACATTTATGAATTCGCTGCCACGTGTCTTGATGAATTCTTCGGATCGGATTACAGCATCGACCAAGACCTTAATTGAGTTACTGAAATTTCGCCTCTCATATAGGACGAGATCATCGACACGGGATAGTTTCTGCTTCATTGCCGACATAATGCCTAATATCTTGTCGGTCCACTCGTAGTTGTAGGTATCCAAATGGTACGCTTCGTTCGATAGGGAAACTCGGGCATATTTATTATATTCCTCCCATTTGTCATTGTAAGTGATGGAGTCTCGTATCTTTCTCAGACCTGTCGCCAAGGTGGCCAAGTTCGGTGTCAGACCCTGGCACATGCTCCTTAGGTACAAAATACTATTGAATTCTGAAAAATCACCGTTGCGTGCGGCTTCTAGCTTATCCCTCTCCTCTTGAGTCAATAGATACACGCTGGACAAATCTTCATCAAATATGTTCTCCTTCTTATCTTCGTCAGTCTTCTCCTTAATCACCTCAATGTTCCTCAAATCGTCCAGCTCGTAGAGTTTATGTTGCAGAAGCAAATCAAATATCGATTCGTTAGCCCTGCAGGCCTTGATGGCCGTTGACATCCTCAGCTCTGCAGATTCCGCAGACATCTCATACGCCGGATCCAGTACTTCATACAGATCAATGTTTGCATCCAGCTGTTTGAATATGGCATTTTCATCCAGATCCCGCACTGGGGCACACGCGCCCTGATATGTCACCAAGCCCATTATAAAGTAGAAAAGACCAACCAGTGCAATGAAGGAGAACATAGTAAATATTAATATGATGCCGCTGTAGGAAAAAAAGTGATGTTATTATATATAATTTAGAGATATCCTGTAAATTAAAGGGGACGAGCAAAGCGAATATAATATACTTGCAAAATGGATGGGATTTCTTAATAACTATATCTGATATCACCTAGCAATTCCCATAGACTATGAACTTACATCAGTAAACAAGTGGCTCCGGATCCTTTCCTACCACAACATCCGCACATCAAGGCAATTAACATTATAAAGATGATCTGAGAAGTGAAAAAGATGATGTTAGCAAGCGAAACCCTCACATCATATCATAAGTTATAGCTACCACTGTAGCTGGTGCTCCATCAGATACTTACTACAAACAAGCATCCACAGACCAGAGAGTTCATAATACTTCGATCGTTGCCAAACTTTTCGTAGACATCGTCGAAGGATCTCGTCGAGCGCACTGTTTTCAATTGAATGTTACTGATCAAAGCTTCCGTTTGATTGGAGATTCTATCGGCATTCATGCGGAACTGTTCGCGACCATCTTGCACATCTTTCAATATCGAAGGTATTACCAGGGCCATTGCAGCCTCGATTTTGGCGCCAACTTCTTGGAAACGCCTCAAAGCGAGCTTCGGTATCATTGCAATATCGTCGTTGATAATTTTGTCTGTACCTAGCACAAAGTTAGTTGTGTTCGGCAACTGAAAGAGATTTGGTTTTATTAGATTGATCAATGGATTGAGTGTGGGATGGATTGACTGATTGACTGAGTATTTGAGAAATGTATTTATAAAGTGTAAAGGGATGATTGAATGATGGAATAATAATAAGTATGGAAAATGACTTCACGCTCTGTTGTCTGATTGACTGATCTAGTGACTGATTGATTGACGAACTTCATTGTTAGAATAATTGATTGATGACTGTCTCAAGCAGCGAAAGATTCGTACAATTCTGTGACATTGACTAACTAACCAAATGACTGATTGACTGACTGAAGCAAGAGCTAAACATTTAATGAAAGAATGTTATTCTAATATATCAGAATATATGTCTTGGCTAGTTCTCTTATAATTGGCTTATACTTACATTATCCATGTGTAGACAGGTAGACGTATCAACAAATTCCATTTCTGAATTCTTCAAAAAGTCTTTACATTTGTCATGAGTTACTAAACTGCCGCAGGCGTAGTTTACATCCCGTTTAGCTCCGCGAACACCTAAGATATTCGATATTTATATGAAGATATATAGAATATATGTATGATAGAGCTTCATATACCATCTCTCAGCTGTGTTGTGTAGAATCGCAATTCCTTTTCCATACCGTCCACTTGTCTCATTAAGGTTTTCGCCTCGTTCATATTATCGAAGATGCGTTCCAACTGCTCAATGGCATTACTCTCAGACGTATCGGCCAGGTCAAGGAATATGTGATTATGAGCATCTATAAAAAAGAGGGTATTTTCACAAATCTAATATACTCTTTGGCATCTTACTGTTCAATAATTCGGCTAGATGTGCCTCCAGCTCTTCGTAGTTGTAGACAAAGAGATGATTCAAATTAGCATTGATATCCTCCAAGTAGCGACAGGTATCCTGGCTGCCACGCTTCACAGAATCCGAAGCCTCATTCAAGCCGCGATCCAACACGCGATTCGAGGCAAAGGCAACAATGGCGCCCAGACTAGAAATGAATATTTAAACGAGATGCTGACGAGATCTATTCGCTCCGGACTTACAGAATGAGGAGAAGTAGAAGAAGTAGTATTGCGGCACAGATAAAGCTCATTCTCTTATCCTTAGCGCTATCGCAAGGGCCACAGCCGCGCTTACAGCGACGACAGCAACAAAAGCAGCAATAACAAACCCTGCAGCATCGAATAAGATATAGTATGGATATATATAGCTGTAGTTGTTGGGGTCTAGACTTACGCAAGAAATGGTACGAGAATGATAAGAATTAATAATAATATCACCCACACGATAACCAAAGCATATTGTGCCAATAGAGCGCTCCAATCATTTTGCTCAACTTTAGGGCCCATCGTTAAGGTATCGCCATTCTTTATACCCAGATATCCTGATTTAACCGTTATATAAATATATATATATACGGAGAGTGAGAGAGATATAAATGGACTTACCAGCTGGCAAAGATGGCTTATCGGTTATTGTTTTATCGAACAAAAATTGTGATATATTATATGCGGGCGTTACGGACCAAGTGTTTCGCTTTTGTTCTATAGTATATTGGACTTTTGATTTGTAGGGCGTTAGGTCAGCATACGGATAATGGAGCTGACCCAGCTGCTCGTGTGTGGTGCCATGACCAAGATACTTATCATGCCATTCTCCTCCGATTTCCTCCGACGTTGCTCCAATCAGCACAGCATATAGAACAGCAATTTGTAGGACAGTACCAATTTGACGGATACTTAAATTTGGATAGCAACGATAGCGAGCTTTGGTTTTGCGACGGGTCGTATCGTACTCAGCAGCCATTTACTCGGAACTTTTTTTGCTGATTTTATATTTTTTTTTGGTTTTCGTATCAGTCCAAACAATCACGTACATCTATAGGATAAGATAAACACATAAAATTTTGCTGCAAATGCAGAATTCTTAATGCTAAACTCTGATAGAAATATAGAAACTTTTAGTGGATCGTAATTTATACAACAAGTGAAGTGTATCAAAAATGTCAAAACAATGAGTTCTATCATCTAAGCCAAAAGCATACTTGATCCTAAGTTCTGACATATAAAGTTATGTTATATTGTGAGATTTTCTTTTGCTTGGCTTGGGACGGGGTCTGTACATGCAAAGCTATTCTAGCATTAAAACCGAATTTGTGTTTGGTAAACCAAACTCACTGTAAAATGTTTCGTATCTGCAGTTTCGTATCTGCAGTCTGAAATGTGCTCTCTATCAATATATATCGATTATTGGTAGATAGATATAAAGAAAGCTTCCATTGGTTTAAAGTAAGTAATATACTTGGCAGAAGACTTAGATATAGATATAGATATATACTAGAATATGTAGCTATTGAAGATTCAAAAGAAAATCGAATATTCGCGTTGCTATGAAGGAGCCCGGCTAGCGAAATCTGCCTATCGATTATCGATTTTTGATAAATACTAAGTTGAAAATGTGACAAGTAATCTAGGCAACCATATGTAATAAGTCCTATAAAACAAACTTAAAATACAAGTTTCTTCTCAGAGCTCAGGCATACCAAATTTGCTTGAAGCCATCGATAATTTTTAAAATTTTGCAAGTGTTAGTTATTTTAGCAAATTTAACATCTGTATATCGCTATCTCGTATACACCCAAATACCAAAGTTAATCAACAAAATATAAAAGGTTTTGCGTAGGCGTAACTCCCAGTTGAGCAGCGTTAAATAGAGCATTCTTAATAACTACACTAAATGTATAATATATAATATAAAAATTTGTATATAAAATGCATTTGTTGGATTTCATCAAAACATATTTTTATTTGTTACACAATTTTTGCTTCTTATTAGTTCTTGGTTGATTTTGAATTTCACATCATTTCGCATTTTTTTTTTATATCTTCTTTTTTTTTATTTTTTTTTACTGCGTCAAAAGTTTTTGTACATACATTAAGTTATTATTTAGACATATGCATATATATATATATATATATATATATAAATATATATATATATATAATGTATGCCTTTACAATCATGTTGTCTATAATAATTTACATTAGAAATTTGGTTTCAGTTTTACATTGAACTGCGTTACACGAATTGCGTTTCAAAATCAAATATATATATATACGTGTACATTATATGTTTCATATCATCATCATATATATCTACATATATATATGTTACAAGTTGTTGAAACTTTGCACCTTTGATACACCTTCAAATGAAACTTTACAACTACTTACGCACTGGCTTATTAATTATTGATGCCTAAAGCCTTGTTTAATTCAATAAAAAACGATAATATTAATTTATATTGTGTTTCCTCTTCTTTTATCAAAATAAAAACTATTAAACAGTTAGCATTATTATTATTGTTATTTAGTATAAGTGAAACGCACGACTTGTTTCTTCATTTTGCGACTCTCGTTTCTCGACTCTCGATTCACGACTTTCGAATTTTTGGATCACTACCGATTGCAAAGTAAAGCTTACTACACAATTAATTCTAATTAATAATTATAATTAAAAATTTGTGAATTTATAATTTATAGTTTGTTTGTAATTCGTTTTGACTGCTAAAAGTGGAAGAAATTAAAAGTTTTTATAGCTCTGTTTAGCATAAATAATATATGAACAATTTGTATAGACCAATATACATACATATATATAAAATATACATACACATATATTTATATAAACAATATAAGCTTTCTATTTTATTTTTTTGTATTTGGCAGTTGTTTTTGTTTTTCATTTTTCTTTTTCTGTTCCTACAATACAAATTGTCGCTGTGATGTTACAAAGTTGAATGCGAAAATTAACACAGGCATTTTCTTTATACTATTATTATTAAGATTATTATTATTTCTTTCTTTCTTGTTTCTTTTGGGGGCAAGCACACGCAGTGGCAAAAGGAGCGCAGAGTTATCTTTTCAAATAAATAGCCCATAAGTAATTAATTAACTAATTAGTATGACATTAATGCTACATTACACACACGAAAAGAAATGTGAAAAATATCGGAAAATTAGAGGCATCGAAATTCTAACTGAATGTTTGTTGTTGTTGGTTTTTGTTATGTTTTGTTAAACTAAAGCGACACTAGTTACAGCATTTGTTACAGTTACTATAAATCATGTATGTATCATGCATGTAAAGACGATGGGCGTGACCGACTACAGCTGTGCCAGCGAATCGGAGCGTATCAGCGGAGCCAACGAGCTGGGCACCTTATGGCCCGTCTCGATCTCATACTGCACATCGAGCGAGGCACCTGCAAATCCATATCCAGTGTAGTGTACAGAGAAGAGAGAAAGATAGTAAACAGATTTAAGCAAAACATATAGATTTATCGGTATACAACACTTTTCAATTTTATATATTGTTTTGGCTAAGTTTTTTTTTTTCGATTTCTTCATCTAAATTGTAAATGCAGTTTTATCCATTTTTATAGTATATTTTTTTTGGCTTTTTTCTTTTTTGTTATGAATTAACCCCTGTTTTATCAGGCTCTTCCTTACGTTTCTTTTCCAGCACTGCCTGCTGGCCCTCGGGTATGAATGCGGCCACAACAATGGCACAGAAGACGCACAGAGCTCCAAAAACGAATGGTGGTCCGGGCACATGCATTGAGATCTTCTCAACGCTCGTCGGATGACTGTTATTCATAATGGATTCATGATCGGCATTCAAATCAACATTGAACAGATAGAAGATAACGCCAAAGACAGCGGGTCCCAGACCATTGCATAGACCGCGCATGCCCGTAATCATGCCCTGAACGGCACCTACAAATGATAATTGGGTATAAGTACTACAGCGTTGATGGCTATTGCAATTGTGATTAACCTTGACTTTCAGGCGAGGCATATAGCGAGACAAATGCGCTAATTGCGGGATAGGTAATAGAACCTAAAGCAGCTACCACGCCTGCGGACCACATCATCCTACAAATAAGTAAAGATTAAGTTTTGCTACGCCTTGCATTACTCATTGTGCTTACCACTTCTGACTGCCTAAGCCATACCACAGCAGTTGAATTAGCTCCAGGGCTAGGCCCACAATGATCGTGCGCTTAGCGCCAAAGACTCTGTAAAATATATGGAAATGTGTTTAGTATTTAATAGATCTTCCTTCCTTATATATGCTGCTCACTTCATAAAGGATCCAAGCGTCACTTGCACCGTAATGCTGAGTATGCCCACAACGGCTATAAAAATAGACACCTCCACATAGTTGAATCCCATTTTCAGCTTGAGGTAGACAAACATGCAGGAGTACTCCCCAGCCTCCGGCAGATAGGAGAGCAGCACAGTTAGACACAGCATCAAGACTGTCTTGTCAGTGCCGACCTTGCGTAATGCCTGGAATAGAAAATGAAGTCGCATTTTTATTTATTAGCTCAATTTGAAGTTCAATTTGATTTGGACTCACCATAAAGGGATCTGCCTGCTCCCAGCTGATGGGCGCACCCCATGAAGCTGGTCGCATCTTCTCTGACAGACTCTCCGGCACAGCGACTAGTATAAAGAATACATCCAGCACCGCAATAGCGGTGGACAGCGCTACAACTAAGGTATCTCCATACATATCCATTAGAGCATTTCCCAGCGCTGGCGAGATCACCAAACTGGCTGCAAATGTGGCCGAGGCAAGGCCATAGGCTTTGGATCGTTCCTCCGGTGTGGTCACATCGGCCACATAGGCGAACACCACCGAGAAGGTGACAGCGAATGCGCCACTAATTGAGATCAAGGCAAAGAACCACCACGTATTTATGCACATCAACGGTATGGGCATACAGGTGAAGAATACTGTAACTAATAGGAAAAACTTGCGACCCCAGATATCGGACAGAGCGCCTATCAAGGGGGCCGACAGAAAGGACAGTATGCCCTTGATGCCCATCACCAAGCCATTCATGAGGAACGTGTGATCCGGAAATGTACGATTGAGCGTCTACGAAAATAGATTTGAATATCAACATTATTCTGGTTTTTTATTATATGCATCATATATACTGACCGATATAATGGGCATGGTTAACAGACCCCAGGCGAAGAACTCTAAAAATATCACAATCAGCGCATGATGTACACTCGGCTCGCCGATGCCCGAACTCTGTGTGGGGCATAAAGATTATGTAGAAATATACATTAGCTAATGAAATCGATGCATTATTATTATTATAACAATTAGTGTTAGAAGATGTATTAGAGCTATGGCTAAGCTTATGTTTAGTAATTATATTCATGTTCAACTCAATATACTAAATTGAAATGCAATAAAAAAATTTATATATATTAAAAATAAATATGAATTTAGATATTTAAATATAGAATAAGCTATGTTACATATAGTATTAGTATTAGCTATTGAAATCTTTTAACGAACTCTAAACATATAAGCAACTTGCATAACTTATACCAAACTTATATATGGAATATTCATAATACTTATTTGATTTAGCTAAGGAGTGAGAATCAATCCATAATTAGCATATATATTTATAATATCTAAAACTAACTTTTAGTTCATCTCGCAACTGCAGCTAGAGTCTGCGATTCGAGCCTGTTGCTGTCGCTTAAATTAGTTAGAATAAATCAGTCAAATGATACAGATGTTATCACAAGTGCCATTTGATTAATCTAGGATTACTTATAGATATGTTCCTATGCATATATACATATATACACATATATATATATATATATATATATATATATATATATATGTATATCCACGCTAGAAATGGACTCAAAGTCTGTTATTAAATCGACACCAGCTGAAATCGGAAACTGCCAGAATAATGCCAACGTGTGGGAATTAGGAATTGGGTCTGGGTCTGGTACTGGGATCGCTGCAATTGATTTGTTTGTCTGTCGATCAATTAAAATGCAATTCACTAGAATTTTCCATATCCCCCGCTCCCCTCCCTAACGCTATGGCATTTAAACGCCAGCTCCACAAACCTTGCAGCAGCAAATTTTGCAAGCGACGCGTATCCATTCGAAGCAGCGATTGCGTTTCGGACGATCCGTTGGCGTTCCAGATCCACTGCCCGCTACTCCCAACTGTTGTGATCTCATCGATATATACGAGGCGGATGACAGGTTGCGCCGATGTGTGCCACCAATCGAACGCGAGGCGCCCTGTGCCGTGGTCTCCGCAAATGCAGCGCTGGGATGCGCCGCATAGCGCGATGACTGCAGGAAGGAATTAGCATCGCCATTAGCATTATATCATGTCATTGGCATCAGCATTATCAATGGCATAATCAATGGTATCATTGGCTTCAGCACTGGCTAATGCATTAGCTTCAGCTCTCGCATTGATAGTGCTATTAACAATACTATTAGCTGAAGCATTTGCAGCACTGGTAATAGCGTTAGCATTAGCTTTAGATTTGGCAGTAGTACTACTATTACTAATACTATTACCAACAGCTTTAACACCAGCACTGACAATATCATGAGCAATAGCATTGGCATTGACATTGACATTAGCATCTGTCTTAACGGCATTGGCATTAGCCATGCCATCAGCATTAGCTCCCGTTCATCTTACCGTGGGCACATTATCTGCATCTCTTAGCGCGCTGTCATCGACGTGGTGCTGCACTGGCTGCTGCTGTTGATTGAGCGATGTTGCATGCCGTTTCATCAGCTGCGCGGCACCGCTGCCATAGACTACAGGTGAAAACGAGCTGATGGTATCATCCCCATCCCCATCCCCATCCGCATCCGCATCCGCAGCAACATCAGCCACATCCGCCGTTGTCGGCGTTGAGCTGCTGCTGTGTGTGCTCTGCGTATCCGTTAGCTCGCCGCCATCCGATTCGTCCTTGATATGCGTTGCAGTGGCCGTCGCTGTGATGCTAGTGTTGCTGGTGATGCTGGGGGTGCAAGTGTAGCTGGTGCTGGTATTGGTGTTGCTTGTGGTTGTTGTCAAAACCTTAATCGTCGGCTCATGCTCGTCCAGTTCAAAGCTGCTGCTGTGCGCATTCGGATTTTCAGTTGGCTGCCGCTTGGCATATCTTAGCTCGTCACGCATGCTTCACACACGCTACACGCTCACGCACACTCACGCTCAAACACGTAGACAAATAGAAGGAGAGGAGCACAGAAAACAAGATCAAATCTTGTTTATGCTCTACTCTGCTCAGATCCTTTGTCTTTTGTGTCCTTTTTCTCTCGCTCTCTCTCTATCTCGCTCGATCCTCGTTTTGTCTTCTCTCGTCACTGTTTTCCGTTTGACTTCCACTAAGTGAGTTGCTTCGCATACAGTTTCCTTGGCCGACCGAACACACTTATTTCCATTGCCACCTTGAAGGATTCAGCCGTTTAGGTCTAGGAACATTGCTGATCACAGATCACGGATCACAAATCGTAGATCACAGATCCCTTCACAGTATCCAAGAGAAATTGTGCACTTATTTCTCTGGATTGAATTGACTTTGAATTTCCTTTGTTTGATCACTGATCACCGATTCTGGATCATTGATCATTTATTTGTCTGCTTTGGTTTTTGCCGCTGACGGCAAGTCCCGTGTCGCCTCTTATCCTTGTTTCTCAGGCACTTTTCCGGCTGCAAGTACATTTAATGCTCTTTCATTTCAACGAGCTGCTCTCAACGCTGGCCCTCAATACAAATTTAATTACTCAATTTGAGTGGTTCGTAAACAGTTCTTAAAAATTGTCGTTAAATTTATAATCTCATTGTTATTTTTATGTTTTAAGTGAGGTTTAACCGTAAGTGGGCATGGCACGTCCCACAACTAGTCACTAAGTATTCCAAGCGAGGCAAATCTGTTTTTTGAGCCTTATTCATTTTGTATATATTTTTTATTAAATTTAATAAAAACAAATTTTTTTTGGCAAGCTTTGTTTAAAAACGCCGCCAAGTATGCAATAAAAAAAATTGAAAGACCTTAAAATGTGGCAACAAAAGCAGAATCGTTAAAAGCCAATTTACGTTATCTGTTGTTAGTGTTCTATTTTATCTTATTTTAACATTTGAATGTTAATTAAACATAGCAGCAAGCATATAAGCATTTTTATATATAGTTTAACACATAAAAATATCGTACGATGCGCAAATTGAAATTGTCTTGAATTAAATTTGTATCGGGCATCGAAGAGAGCTTCGCTTTTCATAACAAGTCTAATTTAAACTGAGTGAACAAGCACGGTTACTGTTGTTGTTGCTATTATTGTTTTTGTTGTTTTGTTTTTGATTTTATTAGAAAAACTCCGAATGGAACAGATACTGTCTGTAGAGCTTTGTGCGTTGCGTGCACCACGTTGGAACGCACCGAAAGGAAAAATTTAGATTTTTTAAAGAGCGAGCCAAAAGAAAAATATAGAATAAATGTCACTTTAAAAAAAAATGGTATTTCATATAAACAGTGTATTGAATTTTGACTAACGAATTAAAATATGTTTCACATTTATTTTCTACAGTAATGTGTCTCACGAAAAACATCTGATATTGCTCCGGAATTCTACACAAATTATGTACGACATATCCGACAGATCGGCGGCGGCGACTGCTCGCTTCGACTGCGCGTTGGGCACTAAGTGAGTGGAAGAGCTTTTCGCAAAAGAGAAGCGCCCATGCAGCCGATTGAGTCTGAGCGAGAGAGCGCGACTTTTAGCATTTGAGGCTGCGCCTCAGACTTTGCAGGGAAAACGAAGCGAAGAACGAAAAAGAAAAACAAAATACAATAGCCACAGTACTTTTTCGACTGGGAAATTTACCGGCTTTATGTTCAATGGAGAGGGAAATTTGGCGGCTTTTGCAGAAAGATAAACATCAAATAGTACGAAAAGTACTTCATGAGAGGAAGAACACTAAGTAACAAAAAATACCTTGTGCATGTAGTGAAGAGGATACTGTTATAAAATAAACAAATATTAACCCAGAAAGAACTAAAGACGTGTGTATGATGTTGAGGGAAATATATAGACTTCAACAACAAATAGCCAAAAAGTACTTTGTAATCAAAGGGGAAATTGATGGTCCAAAAAGTATTTTTGTTAAACAAGCAACAACAACTGTCCAAAAAGTACTTCAGTGTGTGCGTGTATGAACTGAAGGGGAAAATTGAGCAGCTTTTGCTATAGCATATATTTTATTTACAAATTAGCAGCACACTGTGAACTGGGATATAAAGTTAAAGTGAACAAGAAAATAACACATTAAACTAAACATTTACGAGCTGGGCAATAACAATTAGAGCGCTCATTTGAGAAGCACAAATAGAATAGAACCATAGTCCAGTTGTATTTGGCAATTATTTAACAAGCCATAAGCTTGGGTAATTTATTGCTATAAAGGGATATTCAAAATTATTTCCCATTTATTTCCCATGCAAAGATGTAAGAAATAATGAGAACGCAGCCATTTAAAAATTGTTATCTCAAAATTTAATCCGCATAAACCTAAACAAAATTTACATTAAATTGCGCTACTGCCGCTGAAACCAGATAAAAGTCATCAAATAAAATAACTGTCTGGCTGAGCATAAATCAACGCAACGTGCTCAACCCCACGGAGAACGCAACGATCAGCTCCAATCAGGTCAAGTGCAAACGCACAGCAAATAAATAAATGGAAATGAAAATGGAAACTGGCCAAACAGTTGGGACGACAGTGTAAAGGGGGTTAAGCAAGCTGAAAAAAATGAAGCAACTGCGATAAGAAAAGGGTCTGAACCAAACTGAAATAGTTTTTGTTGATGCAAGACACAGGAATCCCACTTGGTTTATTATATATATATTTTTTTTACTTCTCTATATGCGATATGCAACATCTCTATTTTCTATATACAGCTACGCAAGGTGATAAAATAAATAAATTTTTATACAATATTTTCAGTTGACAATTGGCTCTAATGCATATATGTGAATGTGAATACTATGTATTTTGAGCATTTATTGGATTTTCTAATTACTCCATTGTGGCGGCCTTATATTAGAGCATGCGCTAATAACACGACGTCTACGTAATATCAAATGTTCTACAGCGCATTTATAGTTAATTAATCTGCTGTTGAGACGAGCACGTGTGCTGCGCATATACCCTGTAAATTGGCATGTGAACTAAAGCAGACTAGCATATAAAATATTTTTTATATTTTATATGTTTTTTATTTGATTTTTGATATGTAGATTTGGGTGCTAGATATTTTTCAATATATTCAATATAATTCAAAATATATATATTATTTCAATATATGATTATATATATATATATATAATTTATTTCATTTTCAAATTATATATTATATTTTTTCTTAAATTTATTTGTAATAGATTTGCTTCAAAAATTTTACAGGGTATCTGACCATCGACTAGTTTTAAAGATCTTAAAATATTCCTCTCTTTTTGCATATTTTCGCACACGCGAATAGCAAGTAGAAAACCTAACAAAAATTAGTTTTTTTTGCCTGTCGTGCAAGGTCAGAAAACTCTTTTTTGGGCTTCATTTTGCGGCCTGCTTGAATAATTGATATGCATGAAGAAAGAAAGAAAAAAATTGTGTTTGGGCAACGAATTATACGTATATCAAATGGTAGAAGTAGAAGGTTTACCAAAAGCCTAAAGGTATGCAGTAGAAACTTTGCTAAAGCCAGCTTAAGTTGGCCAAAAGAGGGCAAGGCAAAAACACACTAACACGAACGAACACACACACACATACGCACTCTCAGATACACACACAGACACACACATCTAGTATGCATTAGGCAGCTGTCAGAGCTGTCTGTTCGCTGTGTCACCAACTTCCGATAGTGAATGAATTATGGGCTCAACTCTTTTAGCGCTTAAACTGTCAGCACTTCAATTAACAAAGAAGTTGAATGAAATAGTTTATTTGGTTTAGCCTGTTGATAACTCGAACTATCTGCACGGGTATTCTCGCACAATTGACAAAGTAATTCAAGGTCAGATGAGTGCAGCAGCCGCTGCTTGTTGTTGCCACAGCGGCCACTGGCCATTGCTTTAAATTCGTTTCGCATTCAATGACGACAGCAAATGGATGACCATGCGACGTATACGTAATATGCTAGCAGCGCAACGGCAAGGCTTACTCAATTAAATTGTTATTTCAAGTGTGAAAAGGAAACTTCAAGAATATATATATATATATATATTTCATCTAAAATTTACATATATTATAAACATATTGTGCTCTACCCTTTGCTAAAGCAATTTAAATGAATTCAAGAATGAAAACTGCTTTTGCCTTGCACTTGGCCACGTTTGCAGCTTCGCTTATGCCTTATGCCATATGCCACATGCCACATGCCACATGCCATTTTCCATTTATTATTTGCCATTTTCCTTTTACCACGCCCCTGCTGATGCCCTAGGCCTTGTTGGCTGCTGACAACCCGCTGTCATTTGTATGGCATATAGAAAGTTGAGGCAGGGGGGTTCGGTAGGTACGACTTCTCCTGTCCTGTCACGATGATGTGATTTGATGTGACTGCCAGCTAAGCTAGTCGCTATGCAATCGTCATTATCTAACTGTCTAAGTAAAATCAATAAAGTGCACATTCATCATCTAAATGACACTGTCCATCTCTGTCGCTCTTCCTGTCGTTCTGTCTCTCTCTATGACCCTTTCCACAACGCATTGCCCAGTTAGGTCAGGCCAGTCGCACTTTCGGAGGCAGCTTGACACTTGCTGGCCAAACTATTTTTAATATTGAAAACGAACGCAAGCTGTGCTTGCAACACGCCAAAGTTTGTGACACACTCTGAGTGTGTGTGTGTTAAACAGGAGCGGAATAGCACGCTAAAGGGTCAAGACATGATCAGGACTTGACTGCTATTTTGTATTTAAACAAATTTATGACAATTTAAAGTTTTATTGATCCAACTCAATTGAGGTAGAGAAAACTAACAAAAGTTTTAACTAATATAACAACTATGAGTTGAGTTTCTGCTTAAATATTATTATAAATTTTAATATAATTATGCTCATTATTATTGTTGTCACAATTCCAGCAAGCGTATTCAACTTTCATCGAGGCAAAGTTTCGTATTTTCCTGCATTCTCTGTATTCATTCATTCTGCTGCTTGTTGCTCGGGGCTGTTTTTATTGATTAACAATGATTATGATGCAGCCTGAAATACGAGCTGACCTTGCATGCCACATGCCTTCAAAAAACACGGCAGTTCCGTTCGGTTGCGCCTCGAAATTTGTTGACAACAGCAAAGTACAAAAACAAAGAGTGAAAAAAGAACCTGCAGTCAGGCAGTTAATTTGCATATGTTGCAGCAGAATATTTTGGCAGCACAGCCAAAAAAAATCAAACAAACAAAAAGAGTACGAAATAAGCGATTGTCATTTTTTCAGCTGCCACGTGAAACGATACAAACGGAATTCGAAATTCTAATGCACTCGCTAACGCAAATACCACTCCATCTGGGTGTGCCGCGGCTAAAAAGGAGACAATTTAGCCAAGGACATGGCTGCCACAAGCCTAGCAAATGTGACTCATCGGGTATATGAGTTGGATATATACTATATATATCTAAGTATATATAAGCTAACTGAAGGATAAATGTGTGAGCTAACATATATAGATGGCTATATATGCCCAAACAGAGAAATTTAATTTAATTAATTTAATATCATTTTATATGCATATATATCTATCATGTCATTGTCTACAATTTGAATATATATAAAAAGTAGAAAAGTTAACTGCAAAGTTCAATCAATTCCGTCATATAAAATAATATAATAAATAATATGTAAACAAACATTCATATAAGTACACTAAAAGCTGCCTAGTTGCGATCCTGAAGGGTATGACTAAATTGTCTGAACAATGAAACAAAGTTATTTTACATTAAATTAAATTAAACCCATTTTAAATTAAAATTAATATATCAAATTTAAAGCATAAATAAAAAATTTAAAAGAAATATAAAAACTTAAAAATTTTAATTTAATTATTAATTTATTTAATTTATTTCGATAAGGAATACCTACAGTTCTATGTGGAAAAAAGCTATACAAATTTGAAATTCATAAATAGAAAATGTTTGCAATAATTTATTATTATAATTTTAACACTTAGTTATGTTAATTATTAACTAAAAAAAAGATTTGTTGACTATATATATATTATTAGTTTTTTAGCTCGATTTTTGTTTATTTATACAAAGGTGAAGTATTGAAAAAATTAAGAAAATGTATTGTTAAATATATATATATATATATATATATATATATATATATATATATATATAAAGACTACGAAGACTGTGTACATATATATGTATGTATATATTTATATATATAGTATAGATACTTTGTATAGATTTTCAAAAAACGTCTTCCTCTGATTTATGGACATTATACTGCTGTAACTAACTATCAGCTGTCTAGCCCTAATAACTGCTCATCAATCACTTCCTTTATAAGTCAACATAATCGGCTTGTACATATATAGATATAGATATATGTATATGTAGATATAGATATAATAAGTATATGCCTGTGTTTAACTTTAATTTGCAGTTCGGGGCACATAAAATAAGGAAAGACAATAGCTTAGAGCTTGTGGCAGTGATTGGGCTTTCGGGTTTGCGGCATTGCGCATACGCCGCATTAGCCACCGAAGCTGTTTATAAACTGCGAGACAAAAGCAGCCAACAACGAACCACAAATTATGGCAGCATGTGTGTGCAAGTGCGTGTGTGTATGTGTATTATCTAATGGCATGTCATAAGAGCTGACAGTAGCTGTACCCAAGCTGCTTCAGCTCTTAACTGCCTTACGCCCGCACATCCTGCATCATAATTGATTGCAGCAGACTAGGACAAATATTAG